CTCTCACAGATGAGTCTGACTTTCAAACAGGAGGAATTACTATCCATGCAGGCAAACAAATACAAGCCAAAGTCAGCTGCAAGGCGAGCTATTTGTTTTCCTTGTGGCTCCTTATCTACTCCTCTCTCAACAAAACAAACGCTGTCGTTAATGTTTAAATGGCTGCAGGACCTCCACTCCTCCAGACAGTGACATTTGAACAGAATGACAAAAAATACTGGTACATTTATAGCGATGGAAAAATTGCCAGTAATCCTCTTACACGGAAATTAAATTTTGCATAAACCGCTAGTGTATTACACTAACCATAATGTGTCCTCCACTGAACAAAAACAGAAAATGAATATCATCAATTTCTCAATTCAACAAGTAAAATCCTATAACTTAACATGTAAAATTCAAGTTAGGAAGTGGTTCTTGAAGGTGTAAATCCTGGAAAAACTAGCTTCTCTTTAACCAAGTACAGATGAACTCCAACATCACAGACACCTCTAAAATACTCTTAATTCCACAGAGCACCTTTCCCCATCCCATATTGGTGGTCCTGCTACAGGCCCAGAATCATAAGAGTAGGAAAAATATTGTCACCTTTCTTCTGTTTTTTTTTTGGTGTGTTGTAAATGGAACCTAGAACTTTCAAAATGACACAAGAAAGTGACAATATTTTTATTACCCCTTGAGATTCTAGGCCTGTAGCAGGACAGATATGGAAATTCATGATGTTTTCTGACCTGTAGTGCATATCTGTTCACAGATTACAGAGAGAGAAATGAAGTGCAGTTGTAGGATATCGAGTGATTTGCCAAAAAGATTTGGTGACCATACTTTCAATACTGACAGAGATACAGCCTTTGGAATACCGGTCAAAACTGAATAGGGACACATTTGGAATTTTTCCATCTTAGATTTTAGCATGTACCCAACTTAAATAAATAAAATTTGGAATTATGTCAAAACTTATCTATATATATGCGTATATCCACAATTTTTTCCAGATGCCCAGGATAAAGGAATCTGAAAATGGCTGACTGAGCAATTTTGCGAACCAAGGAAAAATCATGAAATTTCAAGCCAGTGTAGGCCAGAGAAATGTTGGATTTTTCATATTGACCCAGGGGCAAACTAAATGCCACAAAATTGTTCTGAGATGGTCAATCGTGGGCCATTTGTCGAATTGAGCCAGAATGACCTCACTGCACATATTTTCAGTCTTATGCTCATATTAACACACGGCTCAATTATGATCTGCTTGAGTTAATGATACGCAGAAATGAACTGCAAAATCATTCATCACAGAGTACATGCTGCATCTCAGAAGTTGCCTTGATCTGAGGTAAGAAAAATGTGTAACAAATCTGGGCTTGTGTTTGTGGTCAGTGCCGTTACGGATTTCACATCACCAGCCTCATCTCTCACAGCTATGCGGTGCTTAGCAGGTTAGGCAAAACAAATTCAAATGGCTCAGATAAATTTGTCAGTCAACTGCTAATTGGCAGGAACAGCTGTCCATAGTTGTCTACTTCTAACTCCATTTCATACGGAAACCACAACCCTCTGTAGATGTGCACCACAATATAAACTCAGAGTGGTGCATTGTTTAACTATGGAAATGGGACTGCTGTCTGCATCCGAGGAGGCGGCGTTTCTGCTTAGCTCATGAAAGTTCTTACACCAGCCTGAAGCTCGTCTGTGCATCCAGGTGGTTCCAGCTCAAGATCAAACAGTTTCCCCAAGACACTTAGGAGGTGGCATTCCAGCCAGCCTCCTCACCTGGATTCCGCAGACAAGTACCCAATATAATGTTTCTTAAGATTCCACATGTTTCACCGAGCAAGACATAGCCCAAGTGTCTAATCTCCAAAAGCATCAACAGTGAAAACAGCCAACTATAGTATGGATCATGTACAGTCAACAAAGGGTGGACAGACACGTTCTTCAGTTCCACTTACAGTAAATTAGACCTCAAAGAGTTCCAGAATACTAGAGCTCCAAGGATATGGCTCAGACGCAGAGTCACTCAGCTTCTTCTGAATGTAGTACTCTTTGCCAAAGAAGAATACCGTACAATAATGTGTGACAGACTCTCTTTCCATGTTTCAAAGAAGATCGTTGCACGGCTGGAATGCAGCCTACGAGGATAATAAATCTAGGCCCATCAACAATTGGTTCTTTCCCATTCACTCACCAAGCCTGCTGGCTGCGATGACAAACAGCTGTGGGGCTGCCCTGGGTCATTGAATTGGGAGGGGCGCAGGTAAGCTGCGTGATCTAACAGCTTCTGCTCGGTGCCCGATAGAGAAAAGGAGCAGAGAGTAGAGCTGTCAAGAACAAGGGGCCGAGTCACATGCTGCAATGCACCAGGCTTCAAATAAAATCACGGAGGAGGCCGAGGCAGACGGGTCCCCGTTGAAAGGCAGCTGAACACATCTGGAGAGCACAACTCTGCAGCGAGAGTGTTGGGCAAAGGACAATAAGACAGGGCGGGGCAGGCATAGGAGCAGACCGCCAAGCAGCACCGCGCTACAAAAAACCGGCAACCCTTCTGCGACGGCCCGTCCCACATACAGCGACTCCCTTCTCCTTTTTGGGGGCCAGCAGAAAGCAAGCCGATGGCAGCTCGCCCTAGAGGGGTGAGAGCCAGAGAGGTTACAAGGCGTCTGTAGACAGCTGCTCCCTTTTGTTTCACCCTAAAAGCGCCAGAAGATTACTGGCAGGACTCTAGAGAGAGCGCTGGCTACTGGCAGAGGAATAGATAGACTAATGCATCAACAAGACCCACAGTTCATCCTCGGGGGAGGGCGGCAAGAGAGCTGTAGAACGTCCATTCTTTGTTCATAGCCCTCCTCTCTGTCATTCTCCTGCACAGGAGGTCCCTTTTGAGGCCCTGAGCTTGCTGGTGGGAGTTTCGTCATCTTTGACAATGCAACAAAACCCAATGCGTCAGAGACTCATTTCACAAAAGCCTTTGTATCGTACCGCAGAGCACCAGGATGGTTAAGCAGACATCTAGCCCTGATCTACAGTCCTTTTCTTTTGTTGGTCTGCCTCACACTTTCACAATTCAAGTTGGCAGCGACATTTATGCAGTATAGGTTTTATTCCCATCCCATTAGGTACAAAGACCATGACCATTTAATCATCCAATAACACTGGGTTTTTCTCACTAATTGGTTACCAGCTTCAACAATAAAACAGCAGTATGTGCTGAAGTACATCTTTGGATGTGGTAATGAAATAAATGATCAATTGCAAAACAATGACATTTTGCTGTAAAGCATCGTTTCCTAATCCGGGTCTTGAGGAGCAAAAACATGTGGACTGTTAGGCAGGGAGCTGGAAGGGAGCAAAAACGTGGACCTTCTGTGGGTCCCTGAGGACTGGGTCGGAAAACACTGCTGTAAGGGAGAACATAGAGCCTAAACACTATGATGGAGTGACTACAAAGACTGCAACTCACATGTGTGGACTGAGCTCATAGAAGTTCCGGTTCCGGTACTCCTCCACCTTGTCAGCTGTGTAGATAGGGAGGGGTTTATAGGGGTTCAAGGAGATGACCACACTGCCGATGTAGGTCTGCAAAGAGGTGGAAAGAGGCATAACATCACAAACCTTCCAGCAAAGTAGAAAGCAGATTCAGCAACAGGGTGTATGTGGACTTTCTTTTGAAAGATCAGCATCTAAAGACCACAAAGGGCTTCCAAGCTTTTAGCAAAAATCCCGTCTGCACATAAAACACACAATATGCTACAAAAGACCTGGGTAAAAGTAGTTAATTAAAACTGTATACTTAGAAAATCTGATTTGAGAACCTTCTAAAAGTCCTCTTCAAAATCTGCAGCAAAGTTCAACTGTCACACAATCTAATGTCACACAATCTAATGTCACACAATCTAATGTCACACAATCTAATGTCACACTGTCTGTTATGGTGGTTATAGCAGTATGAACTTAAGACGCCCTGTGCCAACCAGATCCTTACAGACAATGCATGATGCATTTGGTCCAACATGTAAAGACTCCTGGAATCCCGCCATGTCCTTAAGGCTGGCTGCATAACCCAGAAGTGTTGCAGGCGACAAGGGCCGAGTTAGGAACTGCCATCCTAAGACGCAAAGGAATTTAATTTCATATCAAACAATCCCTGTGGTGTTGCCAATTCTTAAAACTGCACAGGGTAGCATGACTGAGTAGAGTGCTGTAATAATGTACACCTCATTTCACTGCTAGGAAGACCTCCGTGCTCCTGATAAGCATCGGGGGGGCACCAGAAGGTACTACATTTACGGAATGCTGGGAATTTATGCTGGGTAGGGAGCCAGATGGAGAGGCCCATGTTGGACATATTTGTCATGGTGTGATCCTCCACATTGAGAAAGAAGGTCTCACTCTGACATTAGGGTTCATAAGACGGACACTCTACTGGCCAAATGCATTTCTATGCAGCAAAAAATAAATAAATAAATAAATACACTGGTTCTATTTCTTATTCCATATTTGTTTATGTAGGATATTCACTGAGGGAGGGGCAGGTTAAATAGCGGTAAAAAGCAAAGACCCAGAGAACCCTGAGACCTGAGGTATTCCTACAGCAGCGTTTCTCAACCCGAACCCTCGGGGACCCCAAGACGGTCCATGTCTTTGCTCCCTCCCAGCTCCCACGTTTCTGAGCAAAAACGTGGACCTTCTGAGGAGCAGGTTTGAGAATCACTGGCCTAGGGGGGAGTCTGACAGGCTGCCCTTGACAAACGACTAAAATATGGATTTTGGTTAAAACTGGCCTAACCCATCTGGCGTCCGATAACTTGCCAGGAAGAGCCCTCCTGATTATGGCGCGTAGAGAGCTGTGTGATCAGACTGAACCACGCTAGGGGCAACACGCTCACTCAGTCCATTCCTTACGCACATTAATATCCAAACCATCTGCTCCAGTGTTTTTATTTACTAGTTTTTTGATAGCTGACGTCTAAATCCAACATGACTTACAGCTTATGTAATACACTGGGACGTGCAGAACACACACACACTGTACAGCTAAGCATTTCAATTAACCATTAAAATACCAAACTTAGCTCACCTCTCCTTTAGTGTTTGTGATGCAATCATTTTCCTTACATTTCATTAATTTAAAACAGCCGAGATTTACTAGAATTACAGAAATGTGAGGCGCCTCTCGGTTCGCATTAAATCAGGTATTAGATAACGTTCTCTGCAATAACCAAACCTTTTCCATAGCAACACCACCCACAGTACATTGTCACACTGCACATAAGAGGCATTACAAGGGAAAGAACCCTTATGAATAAGACAAGCTACTGAAAGGTGCTGAATGAAAACGGGGATTTTGAGGGGGTGTCCACTTCGTAACAAAAAAAGCAACCCGATCTGCCTTGTACCATCAGGAACACTGCCAGAGTGGTAAGTGGACACCCCCACGTCATGCTCTTCCCATCAGGCTAACTGGCCAGTGTGAGGCAGGCAGGCAGACACACAAACGTCTTTGTGGGGACTCTCCATTCACTTCTATGGGCAAAACCCAGCCCTAACTTTAACCATAAGTAACCAAAGAACAAAATACAAGCCTTTTGGCATTTGTAGTTTTTTGATTGCAGTGACAGATGTTTATGAAGTTCAGTTGGCCTTTGTGGAGACTGAAAAAATGGCCCCCACAATGTCAAAATAACAGGTTTTTAATCACATTGTGGGAAAACTTGGTCCCCACTGTGTAATGTATATCTGACCCCACACACACCTCCCCCTTTTGGTGTCCCTGCTTTCTTGAACACTGCAAACTGTGTAAAAAGCCATAGTAATGAAGGGGTGGAGTGCAGCCTGCAGATCTCTGCCTAAAATCAGTCAGCAGACTCTTCGGACTCATCTTGTCAGGTCCAGCCGGGTCTCGGAACTCTCCTGACATGCAAGCCAATGGAATAATGCAGTACCTGGAAGTGACCATGACTACCAAGCAAATTAATTTATTTAAATGAGCAACAAAACATGAAGTATAAACATATGGCCATTTGTATAAAGCTGGGTGGTGAGCGTGGGACTTAAATCTCCTTATTAAAACAATCTTTGATGCACACAAGATTAGTCAACCTCAAGGTTCAAGTCCGTAAACGTATCTTTAACCTTCCTCCCACTCTACACAGCTATATTAAAGTCTTCTGCTCCGGATTCATGGTTCCATGTGGTAGCCTAACCTTGAGCTTCCAGTTAAAAGGTTTAATTACACAGCAAAGCCAGCCGTATGAGATCTCAAATGTGGGTCTCACTGAATGAGCCTTAACCAACACAGGTAGCTGCTTGGACTTGAGTGCTCGAGGGTTGCTGAATGTTGACGTTCAGAGGAGCAACATTACAAAAAGGGAAAAGTGCAAAACATTCCTTTATAACAGTAAACCGGAAAGTTGGGGGAAGGGGTGCATTTAATTACAGAATACAGTAAGGTTTATGGAGCAGGGCTGAGACCAGGAATGTCACACAAAAGATCTTCCGCAGCAAACATCCTGATCAGACACAGGGTATTCTCTAGCCCACATAAATCAACACAGAAAATTATAAATTACATGTATACTGCAGCTACAAATGGGAATGTTCTGGTACAAAACCGTTATTAGTATGCCTTTGAATTTCCTGTTGGATACAAAATTACAAACACATCTGGACATTTATACAATAAAACCCTTGGACTTAAACCAACAACCAATCGCTTTGCAAGTTCCTGGCTTGACAGTAAAACCAGTTGCCCATTTTGTCTAGAACGAATGTAACCACTTTAGCAAATTGACTGGCACAATCAGTATAAATACATACAAAACAGGTGGGTTGCGGACATCGGTGTCTTTACGCCAAGCAAGAGGTGGGGCCTGAAATCCCAAAACACTGCGACAGTGGAAAAAGCAGGTGGGATGCAAAGTATTTCAGACCATGAAGTCACCAGTATGGCTGTGCGAAGGGCTTGCATCAGCAAAAAAAAAAAAACTGCCCACAAATCACTCCGGACAGCCATAATTATGCATGAGAAGTTTCCATTGCCTAGACCCAGCCTGAAGCCACAGTTAGCTCCAGACATAGTTAGCATGTCTTGCACATACTTGCACTCCATATTGACACCAGATCATAATGGGGCATCAACCTCCAAATTACACTGAAAGTCAGTCTTTTTTGTTCTCTTACTTCCCATTTAAGCTACCCTGTTCAAGGAGTTTACAGTACGTCAACCTTGACCGCAAGATTGTTCAAGTGCATAGGCAAGGAATTCTAACCAGATAAGTTGCTGTGAGACACTAAATGACATTTCAGGTCTGCAGAGCATCTAAGCACGATAGACACTAACCAGCGTTTATCAAGCCAGTCCACGGGGACCCTCCGACGGTCCTGGGAGCTGGGAGAGAGCAAAAAACATGGCCCGTCTGGGGATCCCTGAGGACTGGTCTGAGAAAAACTACCAGACCAGCTGCTAAAAGCAGACCACCAGAAACCAAAGTGCCACATAAGGATTTGCCTGCGAAAAAGCTAAACAAGGTTTTTATTGCAAGAAAAATCTGCCATTAGCATAGTGTTAAAATCTCTCCCAAAGCATCACCTCGTCTATCGCTCTGTTCATTCCCATCTTGGCCTAGATTTTTGACCGGCCTTTGGAATGTAAATTCCAAACATATTGAAGAAGAGCCTTGGGCATCGTGTCAGATTCTAGACATTGCACTGAAGGGCAAGGGGCATCAAAGATGACAGACGACAGGATACAGGGCTGATCAACAGATAGAAAGCATGTTGTACAACAGGAGCCAGAGCAGCCAATCTACAAGGATAAACAGGTGCACGCTTGTCAAGGATACTTACATAGATCTCGCCGTGTTCAAAGCGGTTCTTCAGGTTGTTAATGAAGGATTCTTCGGTCAAGGGCTCCAGCAGCACCATGTCCCCAACCCCTATCATGTTATCAAGTAATGATGTCTTCGCCTCCATCTTGGACATGCGAAGTGTCCTGCATTAAGAAAAGATACACACCACTCTTACTGACTTGAAATTACCAAATACCAGATAATACTCAGAGTACCAGGCCAAAGCCCTGCTTAGGAAAAGTGCCATTTTGGTTGCACCCATGGAGTTTATGAATAACCCATCCAACGATGGACCCCCTAGATGGGGTCTGTCCAAAAATAAAGAACAAAAATAAACTCCAAGTCACTATTTATGCAGCAAAAGGTTCAGGCCCAGTAGGGAATGTGGTCAGACCAAAGTAGTGCAGTCCACAGGGAACGTTGGGAGGAATAGGTGAAGAAAGTACAGATTTTGTATAAATTATGCAGGAATATATCACGACACACCAATGTAAAGCACCTTGGGGTCACTCTGTTGTGAAAGGCGCTATATAAAAATTTATTGGAATGAATTGAAGTGAATGACCTTAGAACAGGTGTATGATTTCTACTGATACTTGTTTCCGATGAACCTTAAAGATGGGGGAGGAGTTAAGGAAATCCCAATTATAGCACCACCATTCTGCACGAGTCAGCGGACACTGTGGGAAACCCCACAACCATCGACGCATTCCACCAGCGACCACATGGTAACTCTGCGGCAAAGTCAAGACAATAGGCTGAAACTGCGGCTTAGAAAGCAAACATATGGCGGGAGGCGGCAGTTTCACACCAGCTTCAACTTAAGGCTTCTGTACGACAGATAACCAGGCAAAGGGTGTCCATACAGGCTAAAGACACACAGGGGGACAAAGATGCACTTAAAATATGTATTTTAAATACAAATTTGTATTTTGTAATTTGTATTTGACTTACTCTAAACTCAACTAGTTCGATGAAAACAATCTTGCTCTGGACTTCTTTGAACTGAATTACCCAACTCTGGATCTACATGAGATCCCAACTTGTAAGTCTGTTGGCAGAACTTTTCTACATTTTCCCAATCCACTGGGTTTCACTGCTAACACACACACACACACACACACACACACACACACACACACACAGGATTTAGCATCTCTCAGAGGGACACTGGCATTGCCTATGCCTCACTGCATTACACAGGCTGCTCAGAATTATCATTTAGATAATCACTGAAAGCCCCAAGCTTCAGAACACTAGGTCACCCTTCCTTACCCATAATTCTTTTGTGAAAATGAAAACGCTGGTTCTGATTACCAAATGCACAGCTTTCATTTTACATTCAGAAATCAGTTTAGCTTAGACGCTGTAAATATATTCCAACATTTTCCATAATTCCCAATTTGATACAAATACCTGAATACACTGCAAGGTGATCCTGCAATGATTGTGACTGTTGAATACCAATTCCAAATTACATTAAAATGTCCTGGCAGGCTGTGGATGTGACCCGACAGCTTATTGGCACTCTAGGATGGACAGAGCTTTCACAACAGTGACCAGATGCGTATTGAATTCCTGCAACAGAGTTCAGTTTATATAACAATAATGCATCTCACTGCCCACATGTGCACAAAAAGTTCATGACATAAAATTAAAAAAGCATCTTATCTATAATCCACCAGATCAAAGGGTGTAATTTTAGAAACTCTGTTAATATTAAAGTGGACGCGTGCTCTGAAAACTCAATATTAATAAGTAACCGAGAAGCTTACAGAGAAGCAGATTACAGCGTGCAGCTCGTCCATCATTCTAAGATAGGGCAGCGGCAGTCAAGGCCCAACAGTCTATTCCCACAGCATTTACAAGATATTTAATCATTCTGCGGCATGATATATCCCCATAGGCAGGGATGGGCATTATGTCTGATA